ACAACTTCAAATCGAATATATAACAGAGAGGATCACTCCACTTATAATTAATTGATTTTAAGTTGCATACAAATTTTGTATTAAAACCCACATGTTCACAATATCAAAATCATAGGCTGCATAACGACATTCCTTCTCCGGAAGAGAACAAGTGAAATCTTCGTATGGGATTCCTAAGGTTGTCCCAGCTTGTCTATCACGCCCTGCTCGTCTTGAATCTTGAAGCCAATGAATAGGTAGGTGCTTTTTGCCTTTAGCTCCAAAACTTGAGAATTTAACAGTTTTCATGGGCTTAATTCAATAATTGATCTATTAACTATAAGTCTAATTTTATTTTAGTTTCGGAAGTTAATTTTTTTTTAAACAGTATATAAACTTTGTAAAATATTTCAAAATAGTCTACCATACAAAAATTCTATTAGTTTTAATAAAAAACAAAAAAAGTAAATAAATATCAAACAAAATAGTTCATAACAGACTATGCCAGCTATGAAAACAAGTCAATAATTACGATTTTTGTTACAAAAGAGAATTGTCAAAAGAGAAAGCTAAAGCAATATGTGATAAAAATTATAGTTCTTCGTACAGTGAAAAAGTACTTATTATTATCACAAAATTAGTTTTATCCTAAGATGAATTCCAAGGAGTAAAAATTCATAAAAGATATAGTTAAATGTCAATTTAATCAAATGGAGTGAAATTGTTAGTAAAGAACTAACAGACTAGAGTAAATTGAAATAAAAGTGAAAAATAGTAGATAAATTTGAAAATATTTAAAATAGTAGATGAAACAAGAAAAATATAAAAGTTACTAAACTATTTATTAAATTAAGACAATTGTCATGAATAATCATTCGAATTTCTAAATACTGAATTATATATTTTAACTATACATAAAATTACTATAACAATAAAATTATTCTTAAAATTCCTAAATAAATACTCAATGGGTTTTAAAAAAATTATCAATAAAAATACCTAATGAGCTTAAACTTTTTAAGATAAATGATTTATAAAAAATCATCAATAAATCCCCGTTGAATTTAAAATTTTCAAATAAATACCTTGCATTATTAACTATGAATTAATATAATGGAAAAAAAATCTAAAATACTATGAGTAAGAATTATTCGAACATAACTTTACTAATAATATTAACAATAAGAAATAAATCTAAAATACTAAGAATCATCATAACATAAGTTTAATAATAATATTAGGAAATAAATCTAAAATACTTCACTTTTTTTTTTTTGAATAATTTGTCAAGAAGCAGGCTTAAACCCGTCCAAAAAAAGAGAGAGAATGCATCTCATGGTGATAGGGTGCCACTTGACCGAGTGGCTGAGTGCCTAAAATACTTCACTTAGGCTATCTATATATATATAAAATGTTATTCCATGCATTAAATAATTATGCATTTATTAAAAAAAAAAAAAGGTATTTGGATTTTTGCTTTTTCTGGCGACATGTTGTGGAGAAATTGGTTGTAGAAAATGTGGAGCAGACGTGGAAGGTAATGTGGGTCACGTGATCCAGGCAGAATGAGGAGGTGGGCCAGTGTGATCTTCTCTTGGGCCGATAAAAATTTGTGGAGAGCCCCGCTGTATCTCCCGCTCATTAAAACTATACATGTCACCTTTTCACTTTACTTCCCACTTGTTTTCTTTTCTTTTCTTTTCTTTTTACTCCATCAGACATCCTTTTCTTCCCTGCTAAAATACATCAAACATTCTCCATTTTGTTAAACAACATCATTTATTACAAATCAACTTCATTTCTCTATTTCCCCATTTTTTAAAGAAAAAATGATTACAGCACCTTGTTAAGTCTATGAACTTTAATTAGTAGTACCACAAGTACTTTCACTTGCAGTTAATAATACTAAAATTCATGTTATATATATATATATATATATGTTGTTAACAAGTGCATTTAAGGTTTTGTTCCAGTGAAGCTCATTCCATACATAACCACATTATTAGGGATCACCAACCCTACTCCATTTTTTGTTTGGCCTTGTTAATTTTCTTTAGTTAATACCTCAAAATGGTTTTTTAATGAGTTTTTTTAACTTGTATTTTTATGACATGAATTAGAAATATAATAAATATTTTTTTTTATAAATTTATGTTGAAAAAATAAAATTTAACTTTTAATTTATCAAATATTTAATTAAATTTAT